AGATGGTTTAGGAAGTGAGCAAAACAACAAGGAATCTGACTTGGTCTCATCCTTAGAGTTTGGGGTTTGACTCTTGATTGATCCCTGTTTTAAAGAAGGCAGAATTCATTAAGCCAATTCCCTTGGCTGGACAAGGGTCTCAGCTGGATGCCCTGACCAGGAATGAACTGCTTCCCTGAGAAAATGGGGCCCACAGTGGGCTTCAAGGAGGAAAAAGGCAGAGACTAGCACTGCATGCTGCTGAACAATAGATACTTAGAGCAAAGCTTTTGGAGCCATTCAGCTCCAATCCTTTCCAGCTCTCAACAGCCAAGCTGCATCTTAAGGGAAGTGAAAAGGTATGGATGGAGGGCTTGTCCTCCCTCTTTCACCTGTCAGATGCACACACAAAGGAATGAGCACTTCCTGCAGTGTCTAGGTCTATTCTGTTGGAATTATTGACCTCTAGCTACAGGAAACATCCACCTCTGGCCACAGAGAACTCCATCACAGTTAAATTTCAAGAGATGACTGACATTAACAATAATGAGTTTGACAAAAAAAAAAGAGAAGAATATCTAAAATACCTATGTCATGACAGTCCTAGGCAATAGATTCTAGAAGTGAGGGGTTAACACAAATGCCACCAGTAACTGTGCAGACACTAAACCCACTATGACCATCTGGTTTTACAAACTGTCATTAACAAACAAAACACAAAAGTTAATGAAGTCTGGAGTGGCCACAAAAAGTTACAGTGGAATCATGGCTACTATAAATGAAGCTGAAATAGTTGAATAGCTTATCCTAAATTTGTACAAATTATTAAACCTATAGAAAACTCATCAAAATAGACTAAAGCTGGCTATTGAGGCATTTTTGCTGTACATATAATTTATAATAGAGTAAAAGAGCACAAAGGTAAATACTAAATTTCACAGCTTTTACAAAAACTATATTGTAGCCAGTTTTATAAGATACTATAAATATTTATTCCTGGTTTGAGCAATTATTCAAGCAGGAAAACAGCTTTGTGGCCTGGCCTTCCTCAACAAAGTTTCCCTCTTCAATGGCATTGGGCTGAGCTCTGAAGAAATACTTAAACATTGCACACTCAACTCCCTTTCCTGATCTACACTGTCCATTGGCTGTCATCACTAAAAAGAGGGCAGAGATGCTGGTGCAGAGGCTCAGCTTAGGGTTGTGTACATACAAAATACAATTACAACGTGCTGAGCTGACAGCATGCAAAGTCACAATGGTGAGTAAGGAAGCACAGTCACCTCACATTTTCAGGCTGAATACAATTAACAAGCTCTACTGCAAGAAGAATGGACTTTATGCATTATTATAAGAGTTATATATCATTGATGGTCTGCCCAAGGTAGGGGTGGAGTCCCCATCCCTGGAGGGATTTAACAAATATGTGGATGTGGCACCTGGGGATATGATTGGGGGGGGCCTTGGCAGTGCTGAGGGCACAGCTTGACTTGATCATCTCAGAATCATAGAATTGTTTAGCCTGAAAATGAGCCCTAAGTTTGCTTTTTTCCCCTAAGAGGAATAATTGCAATTCTACAACAAAACCAAAAGATGACAGATCATACATTAAACCTGTTAGAATAAACCAACATCTCTCATATGAGAGATGGGAAGGTACTCAGGTTGTAATACTTTATTCTATAAACACAATTTTCTTCACAGTTAATGAAATCATACCAGCTATGTCCTTCTTATTCTACAAATCATCAGCCTGCTGCAGTTCCATGGACCATGTGCAACCTTCTTTCTGGTTAACAGGAGCAGCTACACAAAATACCCACTGCATTTCCACATGTCTCTGAATAGTGGTAGTGTATTGGGCCAAGAAACATTCCTAAGTGTGGAGTTCTTGCAAACAGCAGCAAAGATCATGTTACCCATTCAATGCACTTCCAGCTGCAGGAGAGGACAATAATCAAATAACTATTTTGTAAAGATACAACTGAGTTGATCTGAAGTTCAACTGACTCAGAGTCAGAAACGTACTATTTTTAGTATGCATGATATAACATCACCTGTGGCAAAGCTTTAAGTCTGTAATACTTTTTAAGTTAAGTGTTAAAAAAGTCACAAACAGGAGCAAAAGCAAAAATTTGGTGTTAATTTCTGTCAGGGGCCAGTATGTATTTCTGGCATAAACTTCAGACTTTTAAAGGTTATTTATACACAGAGGCTTTTTTTTTTTTTTGAGGTCCTGCATACTATATACAAGCAAGGCAAGAGAATCCATTATGGCAACAATTTTTAAATTTGATGCTACAGATAGTTCTGTCACCAAATGAAAGTACTAATAATGGTTGCAAACCTGCTCTTACTTTGGACACTTCTCCTTTGAAAGTCATTACTATCTCTTCAGCAAGCACTGGTGCTCAAAGCATTATAGAAGTCCATTTGAGTGGAAAAACATCACTCTGAATGTTCAAAGTTTACTGGTGTTTAAAAAGCTCATCTGACTGTGATTCTGTTATCCATCCAATGCGTTTCATGATCTGCTAGCATTCAAAATGGCAAGAGATGGAAATGCTGCCAATGCTAAAAGGGCAACTTGAGAAGTTAAACACAAAATCTTTGAACAAATTTTCTGAGTAACTGATCAGAAATTAACTCACTAGGAGAAGCCAAAAATACTTAGTATGTTACCATCTTAACATTTTATTCAATGGAAAAAGTTTAATGGACTGTGGTTCTTAACTAACTCCTCGGATACAATGCAATACTGTATTTTATTACATTTTAATTAAATCATACACGGGAAGCTGAAGACAGCCTGTGAGGGGAAAAGAAAGGGTAAACACAAAAGTAGGTCAGACGTCATGATTAGCACAATTAAATTTACTCTTGTTTATATCAAGGTTTGTTTTCTGCATTTCCTAGCAGTCTCCCTGGAAGATCAGGAACGAATTTCTGATGGTCAGTGCATCCACCAAACTTAAAGCACTCCCTAAAAAATCTGCTCCAGAGTCTTTCTAGTATATGCCAACTAGTCTTTCTCTAGTATATGCCAACTTACACATAGTGCAACATCTATTTCACAATAGCAATGACACATTAGCAAGCAATGTGGAACAATGATATTTGTAACTCCCACCTTATACTAGAGAAGAAGGAAAAGGATAAAAACAGGGCATCCATCAGGTTAACAGGAAAAGCAGGAAAAAAGTCTGACTAAAAGTATCCAGCTTTGCAGTTGATATAAGCCATTGAGCAGCCAGCTGGGAGACACATTTTAATCAGGTTTCTAGCCAAGACTGTGGATGTCTGTGTCTGTAATCATTGCTGCATTTGTTCTTTAATAGAGAATCACAGATTATCTCAGGTTGGAAGGGACCTACAAGGATCATTGTGTTCAGCTCCCTGTTGCTTACAGGACTACCTTAAACACTAGATCACTAAGAGCATCCTACACAAACCACAACTCTGGCAGCCTTGGAGCCATGACCACTCCCCTGGGGAGCTTATTCCACTGCCCAACCACCCTCTGGGGGACGAACCTTTTCCTAATAACCAACATAACTCTGCCCTGACACAGCTCCAGCCACTCCCTCAGGTCCTGGCACCAGACAACAGAGACCAGCACCTCGCCACAATGAGGAAGGTGCAGAATACAACAGGGTCACTCTTCAGCCTTCTCTTCTCCTGGCTGAACTGGCCAAATTATCTCAGCCACTCCTTGCGTGTCTTACCCTCGAGGCCTTTCATCATTCTGGTCACCAGGCCCTGGGCATACTGCCATCATTCAACGTCGTTTTTATTTTGAGTTTGTCATCTTCCCTGTCATGGTGTTCAGTACAGACTCTGGCCTACACACTTTCCTTTTCAGCTCAAGAAGATCCCTGCTCAGCCAGACCCTCCTTCTCTCCTGCTTGCATGATTCCCTATGCTTTAGAAGTGCTGGTCCCTGCACTATTAAGAGGCCACCACTTTGCCCACAAGTCTCTCTTTACAAATTGCACATCTCACAGGGCACCTTTTGGAGTTGGTCCTTCAGTCCCTGCACCCGAGGTTACCTTCAACATGCTTCAGAAACTTTGTGAATCTCTTTGTGTCTGTTGTATGATATTCCCGGTTGATGTCTGGAAACTTAAAATCACTCTTAAGGCCCAGGGGAGCTGATCTAGAGATATCCCTTAATTCCTTGTACTGTAATTCATCACTATCATTGTCCTAGCCAGGTGATCAATAGTAGACCTTCACTGTTGGATATATATGAAATTTATATATATTTAAACACACACACTCACACACCCTATTTTAAAAATAGCTTTTTACCTGTACATGCAGATTATGCCTTAACACCTCATTCAGAACTGCCAAGCCTTGATATCTTCATTTCAACCATCTCCCTGATTACACAGATGGAAATACAAGGATCTTTGCAGTGTATCCCAAAGACTAATAAATTATTTAAAAAGTAAAAATTAAGAATACTCTCTACAATGCTTCTGTAAACCAGTAAGACCCAAGCATTAAAATCCACAGGATGTTTTTTAGGACAATACAGAGGGACTAGGGGAAAAAGAAATTCAGGGTGTTATCGGTGTGTTTTAGCAATGATTATTATTTTAGGATCTTGAAAAACTATTTATGGTTCTGTTTCACTCTGTGTCACACAAAAAACAAACATCAATCCTGCCCCAAACAACTCTGGCTATGAATTAGGTAGAATCTTCAGTGAAGAGAATTCCAGCACCACCAGTGGGCCAGTTTGGGAAATTAGCTGCTGGTTCCATGCACTGAAGCAATACTTATGGGATGCTGTGCAACTAAAGGAAGGCATCAATACATATCCTGAAGAAAATCCTTTCTTAATCAGACCACAAGAAAGGCAGTTACAACAAGGGACTGCTGGGAGAAGGGACTGCTGTCTAAGAATTGTTTTCTGTGGACTGACAAACTTTATACTTCTGCTATATATAGTCAGGATTTTCTTTTTCCTGATTTTATATTATTGTAACTTTCTGCTGCCTCTGTTTTCCTAGTGCAGTTTGACATGATGCGCGCCTGCAACCTCATTGCCACGGTGGCTCTGACTGCCGGCCAGCTCCTCTTCGTGCTGGGGCTGATGGAGCTCCCCATCATCTCCCAGGATACCCAGTGGTGGGAGGAGGCCATTGCTGCTGTGTTCCAACTTGCCAGTAAGTCCACTTCTCACTACTGATGGAAAAGAGCTCAGTCTCTCCTAAACCCAGGTGGAAAAGTGTTTCTTTTACTTTATAAATCTTTTAAGTGACAAAGAATAACAAAAAGGCTTATATCTAAAAGCAAGTTCATTGTCTCCAACAAGCTCTCCCCATGAGATTCTGCAGTACCTGAACAGAAGCTTTTAACTGGGATGTATCATAATGAGCTTCTGGCAACCAAAAAACCCCTAAGCCTTTATTATTTCCTATGAAACCAGGAAGGCAAACATAAGAGACAAACTGGATACACAGTAATCCCACAATTTAGGAGGGCAAAATATACTCAAGGAACTCAAGAAGGCAGAGCGGAAGGTCTGAGCAAATTTTTGAAGCCTTGTTGAAACATGATTATTTTATTTTAGCTAACTGAATTTTACTCAATGACCACCAGCTGGATTTTGACAAACATACATCTGCAATCCAGCAAAGAAAGCCAAAGTCAATTCATACCACTGAACTGCTATAAATAAAATTCCCACAGCAGTTCTCATGGACTGTATACAGAACTGCATGAGGAAAAGAGGAAATGGGTTTATCACAATTCCATTTTGATAGCAGTGGCAACAAAGTGTAAACATTCTGCAATAACACCTTTCATTGTTACATAAAGTAAGTAACTTCAGCATTCGCTACAGTAAGAATCCACTCCTAGACGATATCCATGCAGGAAACTTATCATTAATGGAGTAACAATCACGCTGATTACAAGATCAGATTAAAAATACAATGTTTATATATATATATATACACACACACACACAATATATATATTCTTAATGTAAAGAATGTAGGGTTATAATAAAGCAACACCACTTTATTTAAAGTTTTAATTTTGACTTTAACAACTCAAAGTATTAAGAATGGCATAAAACTACAGAGACCTCCGGTTTTCAAAAAGACAAGATCAGAATCTGGCCTAGGTGATTTAAGCACAGTCTCATGGCAATAAAATAGTTAGGTTTTTTTTAGGTATACTAAGGATGAGGAACCTGAAATCCAGATGGGAGGAGGAGATTGCAGAGGTTCTGTAACCTTCAAAGCACCTGATCCATCTTCCAGGTGCAGCAAGTGCCTCAAGCACGACACAGTGCTTCCAAAAGACAGATATAAACCTTGCCACAAAAGCCCTCCCTACAGCCCCTTTGTGTCTGTGTAACTGTGGATACCTTCTGGATAGTTCTCCCTGACTTTCAGCGTGATGCCTGCTGTACTCTCCCATACTCTCCAAACTTGATCTGTTTTTCTAGAGCGGAAATGCATTCTGGCCCTGTTTGGATGTGTTGTTTCATTGACAAACAGCACAGGGGACAGCCATGGGTCTTTCTTCTACCATGGCTGCTAATTTTAGACTGAGCTCTTTTTTTTGCCTTTTTTTTTTTCCTGTGCTGGAGTCTGTTTTAAACACAGTCAGAGAGAGACTGAAGGGCGCCAGGATATCCCGACACAGGAGGAGGAAATGCCTGCTATTACCTGTTATGCAAGCTGAACCTTGAAATCCCTAGTGCTGGGAGGGGACATGGGAGAAAAGCCACAGTCAGAATGATTAACAAAACGCTAATGAGAATGGCTGGAGAAGCTTTTGGATCAAGGAGCCTATGTCAATCTGCCTGCCTGTGTTCAAAAGACGTGAAGGGATGGAGCTGCAGCCTGTGATGATATGAGGACAGACATTGTGCTGTGTGAATCTGCAGAAATAACACAGTGATTATCCCTGCCCCATTCCCCAGCGTCCTCTGCAGTTATGCCACACTCTCCTTTACCATCATCAGATGGTTTTCTGCCTTGAAGTCATGATATTAATTTTACATCTCATTATCTCATTGTAACTTTCTGTTTAAACAAGTTCCTTCCTGATATCCAGAACAATCACCTGAAGTCTTCTAGAATGCATACTTTTGAAAAGAGTGGGAAGAAGCCATATCTGCATTAACCCAATATAAAAGAAGACTTTTTGGAGACCTCCTTAGTTTTCCAGAAAAGGGTTACATCAGCTGCTGATTCCTTGGGAATTTGCACTCACTAAACAGGAGTTTGCACTCACTAAACTCCCTGGACTGGGCTCAGGGGATAGCATTTTAGACATTATAGATTATGTGTCCTTGAAATCAGACAAAACTCATGTGCAGTGAGAAAGCCCAGCAAATCCACTGCTCTGGTGAAGGGCTGCTGCTGCATCTGGAGACTGAGAGTTCCACACTGAAGGGGAAGACAGTGGCCACCACACGTCATATGAGCCACAGGTGATTGTCAGGCCCTGAGTCTCCACTCTGAGACAGTAACCTCTCAGTCATTTTCAAAGAAAAGGAGCAATATGGAGCAAAAACCTCAGAACAGTAAATATGACACTTGTATTTAAAAGCATTTGTCCCATGCAAACAATCCAAGAGAAACCTCTGCAAGGCTCTCTCCTGCTTCATTTGAGGAGTTAAAGCCAAGGTACTTTAGGTCAGACAGATCATTTGTGTGAGAAGGGCAGGTAATGTTTAAGAATGAACAAACTTAGATCTTATTAAACATTTCTGTAGCACTGGCTGTGAAACTTCTGTTTATATAATCACTTTCAAATGAAAGAACACAAGCACCAACCTTCTGTTTTTTCCTTTTCAAAACCCAAATAATCTGAAGAATTGTTCTGCAGTTCCTCATCCTTTCAGTAATTTCAAAAATTATCTTGAATCATATTCCCTCTAATTCCAATTTCTCCTTGATCTCTACCTTTCATCCTGGAATATGCCAGCAAGTGCTGAAGAGAACCACAGTGGTCACTGGTAGACTGAAATCTTGTGTTATGGGGAAAGTTTCAACCCACAATTTTCTTGTTTTTACTCAACTGAAACTGTGTGGATTTCATTACAGTTTCCCATGGCCTGAACAAAAGTCCTTGCTGGCTTGGAAAACTAAGAGTGCTAGGTATTATCTCCAAAGTCTATCACAAGCTCAAATCAATGATCTTAGATCCACTAGAGCTTGCAGTGGCTCCAGACTCCAGCCCTTCCTCACTTCTGCCACCTGCACAAGCATTTGACAGTCATTCCAAAAGGATGGACCTCTGACACAAAACCAAGCCCCAGGAAGCAAAGAAGAGAGGAAACAGCAATGCTGTCTGAGACAGCAATGGGATTCACACAGCTCCAAAGCTCCAGAGCCTCACACCTCCCTGTTAACAGGGAAGTGATCTGTTTGCTTTGGAAAAGGCTCCTAGTGAAAATGGAACCAGCGTTTTACATGGAATTTTGTGTCAACGCTCAGAAATTTTCCTCTAGAGGGTTTTGGGGTTTCTGGTTTTTTCCAAGGACCTGTTACTCCATGTGTTGAATATAGGATGGATAACAGCCAACAGAAGGGCTGTTGGAAAGGAAAATCCATACTAACAGCACAGGGAAGAAAATGCACTTCAGAGGATATTGAATTGCTACAAACATTAACCTCCCAGACAGGATCAGGCCTTAAGGGGCTCCAGCCAAGCCTTGATCTTGTCCAGTGATGATTATCACAGACTTTAGAGAGAAATATTAGAAACTTAATAGGAAAAATCTGGGATAGAATATAATTTACATTACATCTCATCCTGGTTTCTGAATGTCCAAGACTGCAATAAGCCTGAATCATTATTAATATTTTGCCAGTCTGTTTTCAGCATTAAATAACTTTAATACATAACATCCTGAAGATTAAAAAGTTTCATGTTCCCACTGAGCCTGTCATTTACAGCCAAATAAATTAGTCTCATCTTTCCCGAATTTCAAGCATTGCATTCCAGCTTTGCCCAACATGTTTTTCAGATGAAAGTGTTTCACTCCAGACCCCTAATGCATCATGGAAAAGCTGAGCTCAGGTATACTCTAATTTCTGTGCTCTTAAAATTAAATCAGACAATTTTTGAATAATCTTCTCCAACCACTTTAGATTAGCTGATATCCAGAAAATGTCTATGTAGAAAAGAACAGCACAGCAGCCACTGGAAAACATGGCTGAAGATATTGTTGATAGCAGTGTGATCCTGAGTTCTGCATTACTTCCTTCCACCTTTTTGCTTCATGATACCCTCAAGCCAGATCTGTTCTAAGATGAACTCTATGGAACTGTAAACCTAACACTTCCTGAAAAGGAAGCAAGTAAATGAAATGCTCTAAGTAACCTAAAAATCTAAAAATCATAGCAAACATAGAGAATCTCACTGCTTGATTTGTGCTAAATGTTTTCATTATTTGTCAATTTTATTTTGCCCTCAGTGCCAAACTTCCCCATTCTTTATGCAGACCATGAATATCACAATAAAGTGATTTTGTTTTTGCACATTTGCAAAAGGAAGCACATTTGCAAAGATCTAAAATCTGGATGTCTATATTATTTATTTTGTTGGAAATAGTTCCCAGGAGCAGCTGAACCAGCAAACTGGGAAGGATGGTAGCTCACAAGAAGTGTGGTGAACTCCTCATCTGGTATAGCTGCAGCAGGAAGATCTGCCTGTATTCTTTAAGGCTAAACTCTGATAAGAGCAGCAGGCAGGTTCTTGTAGCATCTCAATGTCAAGGGCACGCATATTCTGATCCGAAATACAGTAAAAAAATTTATTAACAGATATAATTTGGATATTAACAAATATAATTTGGATATGCAAGCATAAGGAACGTGTACTGCAGAGGAAAGTGTGTGAGATGGGAAGTATCTCAACACAAATATTCACTTCATTGCTTATGAACATGCACATTATATATATATGGAGGTGTCTCCTAAAACTGTTTCAAACCCAGTTGCCTTGCTGGATCCAATTACACAGCTCTTACCCTCTGATGTATCCAGAGAAGAACAGAGCACTTGAACAATAAAAGCAGAAGATGACACTGAAATGTCCAAAAATATCACCTGTCAATAACTACTTCTCTCTGCACAGCTATTTTTGCTCAGGCTGACCCCACCTGCAGCTCTGGGATCCTCAGCATGAGACAGACAAA